CTTTCCCATGGATTTCAAACGTATGGAGACGGCTTCTTGTGTCACAGTCAATTGATCCGTGAGTTGTTGTTGAGTTTGAGCGTCATCCTCATCCAACAATGTTTGCAATTCGCTGTCTTCAAATTCGTGGTTCTTCACGTTCTTCGTTTCTCACGTCAAAATCGCTACTTTTGAATTTTTTAAACCACTCAAAGCACTGTGATTTACCAAGAGCATGCCGTAAGCTCACCGTAAGCTTCGACAAGCATTTGATGCGATTCTGCAGTAGTTTTCTTCAAATGGTAACAGAAAATCAATGCTGTCCGCAAATCGTAGTTTCCAGGCACAAAATTCGACATGTTCAACGCTATTACAAACTATACTGTTATATGAAACTTGTATTGTCGTGAGTTGAAAATCTTTGTCAGATGTTAGAACAAGGAAATGGCGTCTATGACGCGGTCTGACAGCAACTACACTGACAGCTATGGTCATCTATATATTGGTAAATTCCGGTTTCATATTTACATACCTGGTACACGATTAGATTTGTACGATATTAGTCAAATTGTAAGATAAAAGGATCATACAAGTTTTTTTTCTTTTACGAAAAATATTTAATTATTCAAATCTGTAATTTAAATACAAACCCCTATTTTCTACTCCTATTATTAGGTCATCCTCAAACTTCTAGTTGTAAATATTTGTATTTAAATTATAGATTTGAATAATGATTGAATGTTTTTCGCAAAAAGAACCAGCATTTTATACTCCTTTCATCTTATAATTTGATTTATTCACAAAGCCTTTTTTATTATATTATAAAATTATAATTTTATACATACACTGCACTATGATTTGTGAATTTAATTTTGAGTTTTGTTTCTGCTCAAATAACTAATATTTTACACACAATCTCAAAGAGTAATTATTTGTACAAACCTAATTTAAAACAAAATTATTGTTAATAAGTGTAAACAATAATGTATATTGTCGAAAACAGAAAACAAATCACGTGAAATAAATCGACAAAGAGATATTACGAACTGATTCTAGAGATATGGAACTGATTTCGGACTCACACTTCTATAACATTCCGGTAAATACGACTTACTCATCGGTTCATATACCAACCAACGTGTACGATCTCACGCAAGATGTAGCTGAAGACATCGCGAGGACTGAACTGTTGGATGATATATTTCGTCAGAATTACGAATCCGATCCGGCATTGTCGTGGCAATACTTTGGTACAGTCACTGGTGTACTTCGACAATATCCTGCTATGCAATGGCGAACGAATCCCAAAGACACCAACGACGATGATGATAACGATAACACAATTGATGATAATAATAATAATAACAATGTTAGCAAAAATAATAACGAAGACATCAATGATGTTAATGATAATGACGACGACGATGATGATTCTCCTGTTTATCAGTACGACGACGATGATGATTCTCCTGTTTATCAGTACGACGACGATGATAATTTTCCTGCTGATCAGTACGACGACGATGATAATTTTCCTGCTGATCAGTATGACGACGACGATGATGATTCTCCCGTTGATCAATACGACTGCAGGTTACGTAATTGGTTTATCGAGGCGGCCACGTGCAGCAAGGATATGGTGATCCTAATGGACGTCAGTGGCAGCATGACAGGCTTTGGAAAGACGATCGGTATGGGAGATTAGTTTTATTGAATTAGAAGTGTATAACTAAAACTTTTATATCAATTAATCAAGTTTTATAGAAAATTTTAAAGCTTTAAATAAACATGACAATGAAACAAAAAATTTTCAATTTGATAAATTAATATTTGTTATTTTTAATTGGTTTTATATCGCGACTGTTAATTTTATAATTGAAAAGTTGTAATTCAATATTGTTGAGAAGAGTGTATTAATCGCTTTGTCTTAATGAAACGATGATGTTATGGCAGCAAAAACGACAGTGAACTCGATTCTGGACACCTTATCGAATAATGATTTCGTCACACTGCTAAAATACAATAACGAGACGACCGAATTCGTGCCATGTTTTAAGGATATGCTGATTCAAGCCACTCCAGAAAATCTCGACACATTCAAAAAATCCATGGACAAAATTGATACAGATAACGTCGCCAATCTCACGGAGGCTTTCACTAAAGCATTCAGTCTACTTAAAACTTATCGGGAGGAACGCGGTTGTGACGCCGACTCACCATGTAATCAGCTCATCATGCTTGTTACTGATGGTGTTCCTGGAGGAACATTAGGGAATAATCTAAAGGAGGTTATATAACATAATTATTTCATTGAATAAACTTTTAATGCACTTTCTTATATTGAAACGTTGCGTAGTGACGAAATTATTAAAAATCTGCCAAGGTAAAATGAAACTAAATCTGTCTTCTCAGTAAACGAGAATAAATTGAAATAAGTACAAATAAATTCATTTCGACATTTCCGAATTCGCGCTTCTGATTTTTCAAATCCATTTGAATCCATGAATACATCTGAATCAACACGATGAAAAGCTCTTTCATATTTTAATTCGTTTCAATAAAAAAATAATATGATACGGACATGAATACATCCATATCCCACAGACTTCCATGAGATGTCCTGAGGACATTCAAAAGACGTCCGTATATCCTTTGAACATCCTAATTCAAGCAACAATCTGACGTCCTCGGACGTCCGAAATATGTCCCATTTATGTCGCTATATGTTGGACATCTAAAGTACGTCCCAAGGATGTTGTATGGATGTCCTACAATAATATTATATTTAAAATTATCCTGAATAATATTTTTTAAATATTAATACCCTGGTGAAAAAGTTTCGGTGATATTATATTTAAAATTATCCTGAATAATATTTTTTAAATATTAATACCCTGGTGAAAAAGTTTCGCTGAAATTATTCCACGTTTTGGAACATTTCAGCGAAATTGTTGAAAATTTGCTGAAACTTCACTGAAAGTGAATTTTTCAGTTAACATGTTGGTAATATAGCAATGAATTACGATAACTCACAAACTTTCCGACATCTCTGAAAATCATTTTGATTTTGACCGAGGTAACGACATTAACTGGACGTCTTTGGGTTCTGTATTGTACGTACTAACGACATTTGTTGGATGTCTTTAGGCGGTACATTGTACGTACAAAAGACATCTACTGGACGTCTACTGGATCTCTTCGAGACGTACCAGGTGTACAAGTATGAAGTGCGGATTTAAGACAACAGATGGTGCACCAATGCAGTGTGTAGTAGAGACCCTTTACTAGAGACTGATCATTTCGGGACTTTTGCTGATTGGTGCACGTGACTTCAGCACACTAATGGCGGCGCCAATAAGG